TAATTTATTTTATGAAATTATCTCAATGCAATACAAATACGTTGCTTCTTCTTTAGATTTATATATTAGGAACTATTTTAAATTGTTTGGAAGTTTTTTATAAACTTTCATAAAAAATCAGAATTCAGAATTTAGAAAGAGATTCGCTTGTGTTTAAGCAAAACAACAAAACAATTATCGTAAGAACGCATTTCAATAATCATTCTAACAAAATTACTAAGCACAAATATAAATTACAACAAGCCAAATAAATTGTAAACATGTTGAAGAAAATAGGATTGGAAACTAGATTAATGACTAGAAAATTTTTCACTTTTTATAAATGTCGATTTTGGAGATTTAAAAATGTAAATATGTATAATACTGTTGTTCGTTTTTTGTTGAATTAAAAATCATTTCGCCGCAATTAAAAAAAAACTAGATTAAAACTGCATGAAGTTCAAGAAAATGTATTGTATAAATGATAAATATAAAAATATTAAATAATTATCAAAAATTAGTTTTAAACATCTTTGAAAAGAGAACCTAATAATCTTAATAAATTAACAAAAAATGTACAGTATTGCCGATTAAAAAAATATTACTCTTACAATTTAGATTCAGAAAAACAAAACTAACTATTTAACTGCCTATCATCAAAATTGTTATGTCTACATCACGTTGATTTTATATATTAAAAATCATTACATGATAAATTCATTTAAAAAAATGTAAACATGTATAAAAATATTACCAAGACAAAAACTAAAATCTAGCGGATCATTTTTAAAAATATCAGATATTATAGAGATTCATTAACTTTTGACAAAAATAATCTATTTTTTGTTGATTTTTTTAATATTGTCGTTACTGATAAGTACAAACAAATCGAAAAACATATTAGAAGAACTATTAAAAAGTTTCAATCAAATAATGTATTATTTGACAATAAAAACCGTTTCGCTTCGTGCTATATAATTAATTTGTCAAAAATGTATTTATAGTGAATAATTAAAGTATTTTTTAAATATTATTTAAATTTATATTTTTAAAAACCTGGAAAACTATTAAAATATAAAAATCATGTATTTTTTGAATGTTCATGTTTTGATTTAGTCAGTAATCTTAAAAAATTAAGAATGTGTGATATAGTTCGTCCTTCTGGTATAAAAATATTAAAAAATATTTTGTCAAACAAAGCATTAATAATGAAAATGGTATTAATATAAATACAAATTTATTATAACTTATAAATGAATATAAGTGAAATTGAAAAATTATAAATAAAATTGCAAATCCGGGGATTTTTCTATAAAAACATGGAGTATTAAAACATAATAAAATTCATGTTCTATTCTTGTTTTATTAGGCATAAATAAAAATTTAAGAACATCATATAATATTGATCTAGGCTATAGTGATGTTAAATTCAAAATCATTCAAAAACTAGCAAAATCTTATTATATTATAAAAAATCCAATAATTGTTCAGAAAAAATATATAATCAAAAATTAAATTGCAATAATGAATTTTGATGGAGTTGTACTGCAATTCATGAAAATATAATTTCAAAATAAATAATTTGGTCAATGAAATATCGCTAATAGTAAATAAAATCCCATTATGATATGAACCAGCAGCTAAAATATTTTGGCAAAAATACTATAATTAATAAAAGTCCATTAATGGTCAAAAAAGTTTACATCAAGATGCAATGCATCTTTTAATTTAAAAGCCATTTAAAATTGTGATCAAACTTCATCTTAGATAATATTTGACACCAAGGTTGATTACATTAGATATACTAAATAAAAAAATATCCAAATTTGAGGTAAAACACTTGAAGAACGATATTCCTACTCCAACAAAAATGAATAATATAGTAAAAATGAAAGATCAACATTAAAATTATCAAACTGTCTGCTCTGTAAGATTAAAGCAAAATATCATTTTTTACGCAAAAACAAAAATAAGATGTATATAGAACTATTAAACTTCTTCCAAAAAGATCGAAACCGTAAAAAAAATATTGAAGCATTAAATTAATAATTGATACTTATATCTCAAAAATGAATAATGAAGTAACATTAGTTAAGGTAATGAAAAAATTTAGCAATTTAATTGAAACATAATAAAAAAATCATTCTATTTTTGTCATATTTATTATCAAGTAAAAGCAAAGACAAGAATGTATTAAAGTAACTATTAAGCTTTCAATAAAATTAAAACAAATTGAAGATATTGCATTTTTATACAAACAATTGCATCTCTGGAAAAATGATAAAATATTTTGAAAATTCAACAAAAAAAATGATATTTATATATCATTAAAATGTATTACAATTGAAATTGGAAGATTATGAATAAACAATCCGCGTTTTTTATAAAATACTGAGATTAAATCACATTTTATTATTATTATTAAGTTCAAATCAAAAGAAGAATATATATCTAAAAACATATATTCCAAATAATAAAAATATTTATCCAGATAGATATTTTCACGTGATATTCCAAAATTGTTTTAATTTATTGCAGCATACTATAATAAAACGTATTTAAAGTAAAAAGTAGTAAAATTGAAGGATTATCAATATAATATTATTAAAAGTAATTAAATTTATTTTACTTTTGTTAAATTGGTTATCAAGTTCAAACAAAAATTCTTATTAGGAATTTCCAAAGAAATCCAAACAATCAACAGAATATTTTGCATATTCCCACAAATAGGTGCATATTGGTTTGAAAAGTATCTCAAGACAGTTAAAATATGGTAAAACCGTATAAAAATATTTAAAAACTCATAATAAATTATATTTATATCATTAAACTGAACAATGAAGTAAAAATTAGCAATTTATTTACCTTGTACTGGTAAGATTAAAAAAAAATATTTTTATGTAGAAACAAAGGCACGGATGAATTAGAAAAACTATTAATCTTTATTAAAAAAATCCAAACAATAAAGAGAATATTTTGCGCAAAGTGCATATGTTTTCACAAAAAATGCTAAAAAACCCAAAGATATTAAATATTCAATATAATAAATGATTTTTATATCTCAAATAAATTTAAAAAATGATAGCGAGAACGAAATTAGCAATTCCTTTAAATCATGATGAAACTTTAATTCTATTTTTTGTTATATATTTATTATCAAGTAAAAACAAAGACAAGAATATATTGAAGAGACTATTAATAAACTTTATTAATAGTTTTGGGACTATTAAATATAACAATTGAAAATTAAAATTATGATCTGACCAAGCAATTCGTGTACGTCTTATAAAATAATCAAATAAAAATATAATTGGAAATGTATTCTAGGTTTTTGTTAAATTTAATATTAAGTTAAAAATGGACAGGAAATATTAGACAGATTTTTTTTATTAAGTGCCACATGGCAATGAATGCCAAAAATATAAAAAAATATTGAAACATTCAATATAATAAATGCTACATAAGTATAATTAAAAAATGATTGATAAAATTGAAATCGAATCAAAATTATTGACGGATAAATTTATCCATTCCTCTAAAACATATTAAAAAAAATATTCTAGTTTTGCTATGAAAATAAAGCTAAATTTTATTAAATGAACTATTAAACTTTGTCAATAATTATGGAACCATTAAATATAATAAAAGATTTTTAAGAAAGTGAAATTGGAAGAGATGGTGAATAAAATTAGCAAATAATATTTTTGTTACATTAATCATCAAATACAAGAATATATTAAAGAAACTATTAATACTATTATTTAAAAAATGTATTAATAATGTTATTATTATTTAAAATTACTATTAAATGATATTTGTTTCTAAAAAAATGATAAAGTATATTTAAAGAAGATGTTGATCAAAATTAGCAATTTATTATATTTTTGTCATCTATTATCAAGAAAAACAAGAAACAAAAATATATTGAATTAATAAACTTTCTGAACAATTGTGGAACCATAAAATATATTAAAAGATATTCATACCATAAAAATAAATAGAAGAGTAAAATTAAAAGATTATGAACAAAACAAGCAATCCGTGTATTTTTTATAAAATAGTCAGATAAAAATATATTGAAAAATATATTTAATTTTTTGTTAAATTAATTGTTCAGTTCAAAGCAGTGCAAGAATATATTTGAAAATTTCCACATAACTCCTAACAATTACACAAAAATCCTAATGCTAAACGATATATTTTACATATTTACACCTGCAAGGGGAATAAATATATCAATACCCTGGAAAAACCTTGGAACATTCTATTTAATAAATGATATTTATATCATGAAAAATAATAGAATATTTAAGTAAATTTCGAAGATTATGAACGATTTATCAAACTTATAAATAAAATTTTGAAGCATGATAATTTTTCTATTTTTTGTTTATTTTATTTCTAGTTCAATCAAAGTAAAAATATATAAGAAAAACTATTAAACTTCCAAAGAGATCCAGACAATGCAAGAAATAGTTTAAAAATTCACAAAGAATATTTTGTATACTCACACACACAAGTGCATAACAAGATACAAATACAAACGCATTTTATTAAATCTAATAAGATAAAATTATTAATAATATTTAGTAATTGTACGTACTATGTAATAATGTACTAGAGTTAACAAAGTAATTAAAATGGAAAATCGTTTTCTTAAGCACACAACGCCAGCATTTCTTGTAAAGTAAGCCAGAAATTCTTGAGCGTATTAAAACGTTAATGTGACTTTAGTATATTTGATTTCTTTTTATTATTATTATTTTATTTATCTCTTATGAATATGAGAAAAGATCATCGCACGAATTTATCCTATATATATATATATATATATATGTTTTATTTATGTTTCGCTTACCTTTCGATAAAAGCTTGACAGAAAATATGTTACAAGAAATACTGGCGTCGTGTGCACCGGGCTTTAGTCAAAACCATCGAATACCGTTACATCAAAATGCAATATTTAAACAATATTTCTGGTAATTTATTTTAAAACAAATGTTACAACAACCTATTTTTAGGCTACGTTTCGCCAATTTGCTTACCTGTGGGACAGTACAGCCTTCCACGTGGAAATGATTTGACTGGAAACACAGCTATAGTTGCAGGATGGGGATCAATGACTCCAGGTAATCGTAATCTAAAATAAATATATTATTAAAATTAAAGTACTTAATTAAAAATATCAATTTTAGAGAATCTCTTACTAAAGACCATAATTTTCACATTTTGGACAATTTTTTTTCATAGCTTACTAAGAAACATCAATAAAATTATATGTAATATTAGTAACAAAAAATCGAATTAAAAATCAATATGTCATTCATAAAATGTTTATAATTTCAAAATTTATAAATACATTTATATCTTCATGTCCATTTATTTTTGAAATTTGTAATTATAAATTTATATATTTATGTACGAAGAATAAGAAAGGAGGCTAATATAACATAACAACGTCATGTTACCGCAGAATTGGCGCCTAAAATTTTATATGTATTTGAACCAAAATTAAATACAATATATAGTATGGTATTCAACACCAAATTCATTTAACTTAAAAATGGGAAAGTAAATGCAAAATAGAAAGAAGAAATTTAGAGGAAATGTCATATTGAGCGCTAGTAAAATATATAATGAATTGCCAAACGATATTAAGATGAGCAATGATGATGACAAATTTTAAAAAAAATAAATAAATATTATAAGGAAATTGAAGATTGTATAGATATTTTAATTATAATAAATATTATATTGTAGTATAATGAAATAGACAAATGATATGTATATATATAATAAAAAAATTGTTTCATAATCTCTCGTACCAGATATCCCTGTCTGACTGAGATATGAAAATAATATATAAATAAAAAATATTGATGATCGTAAATTTAAAATCAAGCATAGGTAAGCTACTAAATGAATTAACAATAAAAAATTAGATAATGCTGCAATTTTATAAAAAAAATATTTGAAGAAATCCTAGATCTTGAAAGTGCATACGCTTTTTCCGCAATTCACTAATAACAATTGAATAATCTCTATATAATGTTATCAAATTAAAATAAAAGTGTTTTTTAAAAAAATAGGTACGATTAAAATTTTTGTTAGAACGGCAAGCTAATAATATTCATGGTTTACAACTTTTATTTATATAAAATATATATTAAATTTTATGAAAATTTTTCTGTCATTAATAAAATAAAATTCATTAATTGGTATTTTGAAATTTAAATTCAAAATCGTAAACTTGAAGAATTTAAAATAAAGGCAGAGGTAAACCAATGAATGAAAATAATTAAAGAAATCTGCAATAAAAAATTTTGTTTAAAATTGGTAGCATTATATAATTTAAGCAATTGTAATTAATTAAAAATATTCAAACTACTTTTTTAAATTCCTTTTTTTTAACATTTAATCATATCCCACATATCCCACATATCCCATATTCACCGCAAAAACAGATGTACATTCACTCGCCTTTTTCCTCAATTTACAATTAACTATTATTGTATCTGAATTAATGATTTTTATTATGTTTTTATATAAAAATACAAACTGTTTCGTATAACTTCAGTACGTTGGTGCTTTTAATGAAAGTAGATGCATTTTTTTAAAAAATAGGTGCATTTAAAATTTTTGTTAAAACTGTAAGCAAATGTCATCTTTATCAATTCATGTAAGTGAAATGTCTATTACATTTTATACAAATCTTTCTAATATCAAATTCATCATAAGTAAATTAAAAGTAAATTTAAAATTTTTAAAATAAAGCGGAGGTAGGCTGATAATTGGAATAATTGGAGAAAATTAATGATGAAATTAATGAAACCTAGGACAATCCTTCCTTAATTTATAATTGACTATTATTGCATTCGGATTAATAATTTTTAAAATAGGTACGATTGATTTTTTTGTTATAACTAGAAGCAAATATCATTTTTCTATAGTTAACGTATTGTAATTCAAGCTTAAAATGCATTAAATGTTTTATAATCATAAAAAGGAACCACTAATGTGAAATTCTGTGTCAAAAATATAAAGTAACAGAGTGCTAATAAATGGAATAACTGGAACACTCAACACTTTCCTAAATAAAAAAAAATAATAAATAAAAAACAAGAATTCCCAGTACGCTTTTTCTTGCATAAAATCAATCAGAAATTTCAGGCTAGAATACCCCAGGGTAGAAAAACCCATATGTAATTCACTGTATTTATCAATATAATGAATAAATTTTTATTTCTGTCTGATCAATGATAAAAATGTTTTCTATTTGAAACTAGTGTTGGAACGAAGTGAAAGCATTTTGTAGTTCTTGATAATTAAACATTTGTTTTTTCTCACATAAAATTACTTTTAAAGTCATAAACAAGACTTATTTCATTCAAATTAATGAATTTATTTAATATAAACATTTTTATTTAACGATTAGCACTTGTAGATGAAACATGAAGATGAAATTTGCTCTTAGAGATGAGATGAGAATACTGAAAAAAGAATTCAAAAGGTTCGAAGGACGCGCTTTACTGTGCTTTTACTGTAAAATACACTTTTTGCTCAGATTTAATAACTATTATATTTTAGAACATTTTAAAAGAGTCATTTTATATTTTACTATCACTGATAGAAATATTTTTTATTTAAAATTAGTGTTGGAATGAACTGGAATCATTTGTAGTTCTTGATAATTAAAAATTTGTTTTTTTCTCACAGAAAATCACGTTTAAAGTCATAAACTAGACTTATTTCATTCAAAAAAATGAATTCATTTAATATAAATATTTTTATTTAACGATTAGCACTCGTAGATGAAACATGAAGATGAGACTTGCTCTTAGAGATGAGATAAGAAACTGAAAAAAAAATTCAAAAGATTCGACGACGCTTTACTGTGCTTATACTATAAAATACACTTTTGCTTAGATTTAATAACTATATTTTAGAACAATTTAGAAGAGTCATTTCATATTTTACTATCACTGATAAAAATATTTTTTATTTAAAATTATTGTTAGAACTGGAAGCATTTGTAGTTTTTGATATTTGAAAATTTGTTTTTTTTTTCACATAAAATCACGTTTAAAGTCATAAACTAGACTTATTTCATTCAAATTAATGAATTCATTTAATATAAATATTTTTATTTAACGATTAGCACTCGTTGATGAAACATGAAGATGAGATTTGCTCTTAGAGATGAGATAAGAAACTGAAAAAAAATCAAAAGGTTCGACGACGCTTTACTGTGCTTATACTATAAAATACACTTTTGCTTAGATTTAATAACTATATTTTAGAACAATTTAGAAGAGTCATTTCATATTTTACTATCACTGATAAAAATATTTTTTATTTAAAATTATTGTTAGAACTGGAAGCATTTGTAGTTTTTGATATTTGAAAATTTGTTTTTTTTTTCACATAAAATCACGTTTAAAGTCATAAACTAGACTTATTTCATTCAAATTAATGAATTCATTTAATATAAATATTTTTATTTAACGATTAGCACTCGTTGATGAAACATGAAGATGAGATTTGCTCTTAGAGATGAGATAAGAAACTGAAAAAAAATCAAAAGGTTCGACGACGCTTTACTGTGCTTATACTATAAAATACACTTTTGCTTAGATTTAATAACTATATTTTAGAACAATTTAGAAGAGTCATTTCATATTTTACTATCACTGATAAAAATATTTTTTATTTAAAATTAGTGTTGGAACGAACTGGAAGCATTTTGTAGTTCTTGATAATTAAAAATTTGTTTTTTCTCACATAAAATCACTTTTAAATTCATAAACTAGACCTATTTCATTCAAATTAATGAATTCATTTAATATGAATATTTTTATTTAACGATTAGCACTCGTAGATGAAACATGAAGATGAGACTTGCTCTTAGAGATGAGATAAGAAACTGAAAAAAATTCAAAAGGTTCGACGACGCTTTACTGTGCTTATACTGTAAAATACACATTTGCTTAGATTTAATAACTATATTTTAGAACATTTTAAAAGAGTCATTTTATATTTTACTATCACTGATAGATATATTTTCTATTTAAAATTATTGTTGGAACTGGAAGCAATTGTAGTTCTTCATAGTTGAAAATATTCTGAACATTTTCTTTAATTGTTTATTTTTAATATTAATATAATATCCTTGATGATGGGGATCCGGGCTTGTACCAAAATTTTTAGATTTAGTCATTTAATTGAAACAATGCCAAAAAGAAGCAAAAGATGTTTAAATCTCTCTTATTCGAAAATTAAATGAAAAATAATGTGAAATCAAGGCTTGATAGAGTATAAAAAGATACGCATTAAAAATATTTTAATGATTTAAAAGCAAAACTTATGTTTCAAACGGTCACTAGCAAAATGTTATGAGCACTCATGGATAGTAGTTTTCAAGTAATTTTGTGTACAATTTATTTAAAATGGCAAAAATTCTCTTTGCAGATATCCAAAATCTGATAATAAATAGGTATTAATTTCAAATATTATTTCCAGATAATGCACATTTTTACAATGGTCAAAATATCTGTTGGCAATGTAGATTTATGCATTTCGACTTACAAAAATAGATTTAAAATAAGTGTAACACAAACTCTCATATGTACAAGACCAATATGATAAAGAATGATAGTATAAAAAATATACTTATATTAAAAATCCAAATGATAATAAAAGTAAAATTATCATGGATGTTCAAACAGTCACCAGCAAATCACCATTAAAGAAAAATGAAATTAGTTTTCTATCTTCGCAGATATTTTAAAAATTTGATTTTTAATACAAAGTATTAATTTAAAATATTATTTCCAGATAGTGCTACATCAAGCACATCTTTGCAATGGGTTAAATTATCTGTTGGCGATTTGGAAGAATGCATCTCGACTTACAGAAATAGATTTAATATAAGTGTAACACAAACTCATATGTGTACAAGACCGAAGGCCAATGTCGATGCATGTCAAGGTAAATTTATTATTCTTCAATACTCCTAAAAAATTTGATCAAACTCAAAATTTGTCTTGGATTGTATAAGAATTGGCTAACATGCTAGAATACAAGTAGTAAAACTTATGATTATACTCTCATCTTATATTTGTTTTGATATTAAATTAATAGCTTATGTTGAAAAAGTGATCAGATTCTTAATTTAATTAAAATCCAAAGATGACATTAATATTAGACCTCAAGTGCAGTGCTTAAAGCACAAATTGTAAAGTCTTGCTTGATGAAGAAAATTAATATTTATCACGGTAGTGGTAATGGTAGTTTTATTTTAATACAACAACTTATTATTCTTACCAATAAAGTAAAAAATAAAGCTCAATAAATGTTGATGAATAAAGATTCATTTATATTCATTTAACTTCAATGAAAAAATGCGTACTTTACACAGTAAAGATTTTAAAATAGTAGTAGATTAGTGGACAACAAAGAGAAATTAATTGCAGTCATCAATAAATTTAATTTAAATTATTTATTATTTGCAAAACAAGCAAAAACTTGATAATTTAAATTTATCCAATGCAACAAACAACATGCCATTTTAAAAACTAAATGCCAATAGGCATTTCGAATATTATTAGCGACTGAGAGAAAATAGCTTCTAAAAACTCTTTGACAGAAATTTAAATATTTTCGAAAAAATCTTTAGTACCTACTTAAAATATATTTTAAGGACATGATATAATTCCAAATATGACCACCTTGTTGAATCAAAAATAATACGAGAGATAAAAATATATAAATTGATGTAATCTAAATAAGTCAGTTTTCTATTTAATGAATACATTTATTATAAATATTTTCATTTGAAAATTAGCAGATGAGTGTTCTGAATGCTAAAATCAAAGGATCAAAAAGTTGAAATTTTAAGAGCATTTTGAAAAAATTAATGATATTTATTTTTTTCTAACTTTGAAGGAAATTTTTGCTGCAGCACTAGATAGTACAATAATTTGGATCAATCATTTAATTATTTATTTAAATACTACTGTAAATGTAAATAACAATAAAAATTATTTAAGATTTTCTTTAAAAATTTAAAATTAGAATAAAACTATTTTCGTTCAAAATGGGACAATATAATAAGATAAGCTTTTTTGCTCTGAATTTTTTTGAACTTCCCGAAGGAGAAGTTTATGTTTTTATCAAGAAATCCGATTCGCTAATTTTATGCTTTCTCGACGTTTCAAGCCATTCTGAATCGAATGAGACCAAATTTAGAAGAAGTGTGTGTGTGTGTGTGAACAGATTTTTTACCGTAAATCGACGTTTTCTCCAAAACGGCTGGACCGATTTAAAAAATTTAAAAGCCATTCGATGTATCTCGATGAGAACTAGCATTTCTAAGTTTTGTGCGACGATAGGTCGGGCCGTTTCTTTGTAAATCGCAGATAAGTGAAAATTTTTTCGTCTACGATTTTTATGATTTTTTAGACCTTTGATCGATGTTTTCTTAAAAACGGCTGGACCGAATTAAAAAGCCATTTGATGTATCTCAATGAGGACTATCGTTTGTCAGTTTTGTGTGATGATCTGCCAAGCCATTTCTTTGTAATTTGGAAAAAAGTGTTAAACCTTTACGTCCACATTTAAGCTCAAACTACCGAATCGATTTAAAAAAATCAAAAACTGTTCGAAATATATTAGTTGGGAATGATACTGATCAGTTTTAGGTAAAAATCTACCGAGCCGTTTTCTTGTTAACTGTTGAAAAAAAATTTGAGCCAATTTTTATGGAACTTATTTTGGCGATATATATCATGGTCTTATAGAACTTACTGAAATATTACGGCCTTACGACAAGTAGTTTAATTTTAAAAATTCATCAAAGTTTGAGAAAATGAGTTGTTCTTTGGACATTTGATAAAATTAAAATTAGACGATTTACTTGGTATAACGATGGAGTACTTGGTCTTAATGAACATACGAAACCATTAATATCCTACGGAAACTGGTTCAAATATAAAAATTATTGGTTTTTGAAAATTTGCTTTTAAAAAATACTCCGACCGGGTTGACGTGTTCGATTTTCAATAATGTGTAATAAATCCACTTCGAATATTTTTAACTACTTATAAATTAATTTACTTGTCATGGATTAAGTCGATTATTTACATAACTCGGGAAGTTCATGTAACTTGCTTCAAGGCAAAATACCAATACCAACTAGTTTGCGCTCATAATGATAGAAGATAATAAGATAAGCTTTTTTGCTCTGAATTTTTTTAACAATTTTGTTCTATATCAGGAGACAGTGGCGGTCCTTTAGTAATGGAGAGCCCAAACGAGAGGTACCTCCTGGCTGGCATAGTATCATTTGGACCCCGGCGTTGCGGAACGGCGGACCTTCCGGGGGTCTATACGAGGGTCAGCAGTTTTGTGGATTGGGTCGTTGCTAACGTCCGACCGTAGAAAAGTAATTTTTTTAAATAAAATGTAAACATTTAATGTAAAATTAAGTAGAATATAAAAAATGGTAATTCAAATATTATAAATTTGAAGGCAAGCACTGATGGTTAGCTAAGAAATGGCAGAAAATGCTTTTCTAGCAGATTCAGTTTAGATTTAATATTCAGATTCTGATTATATTTATAGTGTCAATATAATTATAATTTTTCATATATATATATATATATATATAATATATATACATTATATGTACATATATATATATATATATATATATATATATATATATATATATATATATATATAGTTGGTTGTCAAACGGATTCAAATTTCTATCAGGTGGATTTTAATAAGGCCAGCTAGTAGATATGTGTTATATATATATATATATATATATATATATATATATATATAACCTGATAGAAATTTGAATCTATTTGACAACCAACATTTCACACCTTTTGTTATAAAAAATTCATATCAATCCAAAATTAAATAAAATCCGGAAATTTGAATATGATGGATCAATACTATTGATTAAAGTGTTTTTTAAACTTAAATAATAAATAAAATAAAATAATTAAAGATTTGAATAAATGAGTACATTACAAAATTTATAATGAATAACCAAGTGACTTTTATAAATTTGTTATATCGTATTTGCTATTACGTCCTATTTTAACATATTCTATTTATGCTGTATTTAAAATTGGTTTCATTGGTCACATATACTATTGGGAACTTACTATAAGCCCTTAATATTTTCTTTGAAATTTTTCCATACATTTATGATTAGACACTCACCGATTTTAATGATATTTTTTTAAACTTGTGATTATTTACGAATCACTTATGATATAAATTTCCGTCTATATATTGATATTCATATTATCTCTGAATCTAACATGGATAAAGTTCTGGGGAATCCGAGTCCAAATCTATTAAATGTTTGATTTTTGGCACTTTTTTAATTTTTTAGCAATTTTTCTACTGTAATATTAAACGACCAATTATTTTAAGAAAATCATTATTGAAAATTAAACAGAGTGAATAAAACAATTTAATATATAATTTAATAAAAAATGAAATATTCATGAAATTCTATGAACATATACACTTAAAATACGATTACTTAGGTTTAAATGGATAACATAAAATCAGTTGTAAAAAATAACATATTAATTCCGATTATTATATTATTTTCATTTTTAGTAGATATAAAATTAAATTTACAAAAACTCCTAGCAGAAAATGAAGTTTCGGTTGAATATAATTTAAAAAATCGTCTAATAAAACGTGTTGAAAACATGTGTCATATTTAATCAATACAATATAACATTCATTTCCAGATAAAATGATGTATACATATATGACTATATTAATTTAAATTCACAAGATATATTTCATATATATATATATATATATATATATATATATATTTATATATAGTCCAATTTTTATATATATTGGGAAAAAAATGCTGACCTAAGACGGTTTGCTGAATCCCAGTTTATTTATCTCAGTGCGTAAATAAGAGAAGTTCTTCTTTGCTTTTTAACAGTTATTAAAAATACATTAACGTATGAGTCTGATTTTTTTAATACTCGAAAAAAAATTTTCCACTTGAGCATTTCTTTTTTAGATTTCGGAAATATTTATTTTACTTGATTGCACTTTTAAAATTCAATATATCAGATATTTGTAATTCTATATATTTTAAAATCCTTATATATTTTTTTGTTTTTGGAACAAAATATTTGTTTTCAAATTGTCAATAATAGCTGAAAAGGTACAATTAAAGACGATTTTGTATTTACTTTCTTTATTTCTTTCTTTCTTTCTTTTTTCTTCTTGTCTGAAATTTTAATAATATGTTTCAATAAATAACAATTTATAAATATATATATATATATATATATATATATACATATTTGTGCATTACATCATGGAATCAAGTAGTTGGTTATTGAGTTAGTTAGTTTGTTGTTAATAAAACTACAATGCTCAATTTTCAAAAGCTATTAAAAAACTGGCATTTAAACTACACGTATGAATTTTAATTAAACACGCCTATATTTGTTTACAATTTTTTGTTTGAAACTTCAAAAACTTATAGAAATGATACGAACTTTTAATAGTGCAGAATAATTGGAATGAAAATACATAATACGAGTTCAAGTCATTAATAAACGCCCTTGATTTAATAAAATATTTCATTTTTTACCAAATTGCGATATTCAAATACACATCATATTTTTGCTATTTTATAAAAAAAATATAAATCTTTATATGTAACAAAATTGCAAATCATTATACATATGCAACATTTTTTTATTCATCGAACTTTATTCATGACTAGCAGATATTTGACCTCAAGTGGTCGTAATAGAAACAAAATTATAAATTTGCTAAAAATATTTATAAAACAATTTGTACAAGAATTAGGACGAATCTATCACTTTAAGGGAATAGTTCTAAAAACTTCTACTTAGGAATTGAAATAGTAATTGATAGATGATTTAAAAATTAAGTATGTTTGCAATGTTTTTGCGAATGGCTATTTTCTATATAATTGATTTTCAAAAATATTTTTATGCTTATATGTACAGGGCAACAATATTAATATTAAACGACCAATTTTTTTTAGAAAAATCTGCCTATCATTATTGAAAATTGAACATAGAATGAATAAAACAATTTAATATATAATTTATTAAAAAATGAAATATTCATGGAATTCTATGATGAATTTCTATGCATAGAAAATACCATTATTTAAGTTAATAGATAACATAAGATCAGTTGTAAGAAATAACATATAAATTCTGATTATTATATTATTTTCATTTTTAGTAGATTTAAAATTAAATTTACAAAAAATTCTAGCAGAAAATGAAGTTTCAGTTGAATAAAATTTAAAAAATCGTCTAATAAAACGTGTTGAGAACATGTATCATATTTAATAAATACAAATTGAATTTCATTTCGAGCTAAAATGATATTACCACATTATGAATATATTAATATATAAGAAATATTTCATAATTAAAATTAAGGAGTAGTTGAACTTATGGAAAACAATAGAATGCAAAAATATTCTTAAGATCAGAATACTCCTAATTACAAAAAGTGAAAGTTTAACAAATAATTACAAAAATATGGTCAAATTGTTTAATACAAATAATCTATAAATAATTGATAATGAGAAGTTATGAATATTTCTCAAACTTTTGAAAATTATGATTATTGAATTTTCTTTTTTGTATCAATTTGTGTTGCTCAATTAAACATTTATTACCAAATTTTGTATACAAAAATGTTAAATAATAAAATTCATTTAATAGCAACAGAAAAAAAATAATTAGCACAAAAATAACAAAATAATGTAGTTGTTATTAGATTATCACAACTAGTGAAATAAATAATATAATTTATTCAACTAGTTAAATTATTAGCTTAGATTAACCAATAAATACAAATTTATAATCCCATAAGTAGAATTATAAGAATGCATTTCATTGTTTATTTTAATTAAGAAGCGAGCAACATTTGCTCGTACATCATATTAATTTTGTACATTTTGTTTGATATTCAAACTACCATAAATAAGTAATTACGTAAAAATAATACTATGTAGTATAGCAACTAAATATTTAGAGTACACAATATAGAAATATTTAAAAATAATTATAGTTTTGGTATTGATACAAATGTTTACAAACCAATATTGCAGTTTAATTTTACTGGAAACCTTGAATTATCGGAAATGATTCATAGAAACAGATATATTTTACTTCTTCAAGATTTTTTAGAAAAAACTTACTATAAATTTGACAAAGAAGTCATCTTTCCTTATATTTCATAAAAAGTTCTAAAAAGATTATTTAATAATCTCCTGCATTATATGCCCAAAGGTATTGACTAAAGTTGCTATGGTATTGCAAAATATATTTTGAAAACAGTAATTCGTCAAACAGATGAACAGTTTTAGGCCGAAATAATTAAAAGTAAATAATGGTAACAGTAACGTTATTTCTTTATTTATTTCTATATTTAATTGATTATAGAGATGTCTCTATATTAAATTTTATATAAAAAATTTCAACCATAATTTAAATAAAAATCAAACTAGAATTAGAACTCAATATAATTGATTAAGCTAGAGAAAAAAACATAAAATTATAAATATAAACTGTATTATAATTATGAAAAAAATACAATAAAAAATTTAATATTTAATATGTGTTTATTAAATATTATTAAATTATTTTATTTTAGGAATGTTCATAATTTCAAATTTATCTGTTGATAAAGTAGAAAATAAAAAGCTAAGGAATTTACAATACATTCAGTTATGTCCTAAAAGTGGGACATATACTGTAGCATGAGGTCTGTAAATGATGAATTCAAATTTCAGAGAATTAAAAAAAAATTAATTGTATGGGCATTTCAGTTGCTGTTTATTATCTTCAAAAAATTTGTCTAATGCCAATTTGTAAATAATATAATAATACTTTATTTATTTAAAATTATTATATTCATAACTTTATTCCAACTGGAATCATAATTTTAGTTGAAGATCCTTAACCATATATATAAAACAATTAGCCAATGTAATTGCCCTCAAATTTTACACACACACACACACACACACACATATATATATATATATATATATTCTTATTTATATAAATAAATTAATAAGGTTATAAAAAATATTCTAAAATGATGCCAAGTGTAATGTAAAGTTAGTCCACAATAAAATTACAGAAACCTATTGAAAATTCATATAATCAAATTCAGATCAGTAAATAATTATTTTCACATTTTATATATTTCAAAATTAGTTTCGGAAATTATACCATATCGAAGATAGCGATATGAACAATAACTCATAACTTATTTTCAATTATTTATTACATAGATGAAAATTCAAAAAAAAATTTTCAATTATGAATCTCTCAAAAAAGTGAGTTAGTTCTTGTGAATAATGGACCTAATAA